TGCGCTGCCACCATCAGTCTATTGTTTGGAAACCAGGATACAGTTGCATGCCCAGATATCCCATCTCCAGAAGATTATGGATGGAAACACAATGAAGGAGGGTGGACACCCGTCATGACAACTGAGCTCCCAGCACCCCAGTCAGTGCTTCACTTAGTCAAGTGTGGTTGCAAGACACAATGTCACTCAGGAAGATGTTCTTGCCAGAAAGCAGGGCTCTACTGTACTGATCTTTGCTCATGTACAGATGAAGAACAGCCATGTGAGAATATAGGAGATGACGACGATGACGAGGAAGACGAAGAAGCGGAGGAAGAATCTGATGAAGATCAATTTTAATAAAAGTCATTATGGTCAACTAAATACACCCTAAGAGTTATTGATTGAACGAAAGTTGCATTCGGCAACCTATATGTGGAAGTATCTTATGAACAAGTCTATGGAATCCACTCATAAAACAAAACTGACTTTGACAGACGTTGTTGGTAAAACAATTTAGCACATAAGTGGAGAAAAATATACGGTAATCATCTATAACATGTTTACATTGCATAATAGCTGATATTATTTAATTTGTTGAATTTCGTTAAAGTCATCGCCTAGTACAATATTGTTGTTTTTGTTATATCTATTAAAAAATTATATAACACTTATCATGCTTGTCAACATGTGTTTTTATATTGTCTACGGTACCATTGGCCCATCTAAAGTGGTGGGAGTATTTCACCACAAAAGTCCCACGGACTCACACATGCTCCCTGACTAATAATTAACATTGCACAGTGTGATGAGCTTACAGGTTGGAATGATATCTAATCATTGCTGTCTGTGTTTCATTACAGCACTGGTTTACATGTATTATATCCTACATTAGAGGACCAGAATGCATTGCTACATAAGCTGTTAACTGAAGGTGAAAGGAATGTGGGTTTATGTCAAGTACGAGATCTGATACTGATCGATCTGTCAGAACAACTCAAGAATGATGCTGAGAGAGGTGAAGTACACACAAAATGCAGGTAAATATCATTAATACCGGTAGATTTAAAAATGATTGCAGGTATTGTGCATTATTTGCCATGTTAACACTCTTTTAGGAACTTTATATGTTGTTTTTATGATTCACCATGTAAGCTGTTGAGGTATTTCAATTTCTGATCTATTTATCAGCTACCGAGTTCTGTGTTCTAATAATTGTAGCAGCAGGTTCTGAAAGGAACTGATCATGACAACACTGTCTCCCTAACAGTTTTATTTTGCAACATTGCAATATTCTTTGGAACATTTTTAGCATTTTTTTTACTTTGCACTTTCAATTCCATCTGTCCAACTCTCCTGGATACAACCATTTCCTTGAAGGGTGATGGATGGTATCCAAATTCAACTATGGCTGTGCTGAATATATGATGAATAGTTTTGTCCATATTCAACAACTGTGGGCTCGCCCTGGCCACCTTCAATCCATCTCTGTAATATAAGTTGTCCGGTTAATAGTCCTGTATATGAGATTACTTTACTTCATAACAAACACACCTGACAATATTCCGTAGAATATTGTAATGTTGCAAGGTGTAATTTTTCTCTCCATCAGGTTGAATGATGATTTGGTTTTGTACATTCTCAAGATTGCTGTTAGAGAATCGTGTCTTTTATTACGAAAATGTCAAACTTGTGAAAATGAAGAAATAGAATGCCTAGTTGCTAATGTACCCGTAAGTACTTCATAGTCCAGTTTATTCACTCTTAGTAGCCTCAGTCGTTAAATATAGTTTCAATCATTAAATATGTATTGCATGTTTCCCCCCTCAGCTTGCTTCCCCGTGTCTGCGGTACATGATGGCACTACAGTCTTATCTTCTGAGGCAGGCCGTACTTTACACTAAACCAAAGGAAGTTAAAAAGCAGAGAAAGAGGGAGAAGGAGAAAGAAAAGGAAAAAGAAGTCAAGGTTGTTCCATTGGAAACCATCCAGTCATCTGTTTTATCACTTTCACTCAAGGTGTTTGCTGGATGTGCAGAGGTAGAAAGCGAAGATGTTATTGTTTATTCCACTTGCTATTACATGTATCTTGTAAGATTTTGTTGCTGAGACAAACTGTGGCCAGTGTTTTTCTATTTAAGGTAGAAGCACAGATATGTCAAATCTCAAATTGTAGTCAGGTGACATAGGCAGAAAAAATTATATATTGTGAATGATGGGGTATATTTTGTTGTCCTTAATTATTTCAAAAATGCAAACACTGTGCTCTATGGAATTGTTCTAAAAATAGCGATTTTTGGAAAATATTAGGACAAGTTTCTCAAAATACTTGACTGCAACACACAAAAGAATGGTGCCATGGGACAATAGCTTCATGATTTTACATAATAAACCAATGAACACTGTCATGCAATTTATGACCAATTTAAGAAAAAAAATATGAGTAAGCTTCTCCCTTAATGTTCTTGTCTTATTTATACAACTACTATTTTAACCTTGCCTAATGGATTAATGTAGCCTTTTTGTATCAATATTAATATTAATGTAGCAATATCAAATATCTGTTGATTGTAGCATAAGTTTGCGCGAGTTTGTATTATTATCTGTGTCTATTATATCTAGGTGTTAGCTGTCTTACTAGAAGTCTGCAATACTATTCTCACTGGTGATGTTTCACACGTGGATGATAGAATGCAGAGTTTGGAGAAAGTCATCAAAGCCACTGTGCTCGGTCATTTATTACCAGTACTCATTACGTCACTGACGAATGTTAATTTACGAATGTTATCCATGGCGGATGCGCTCATGCCACAACTGGTGAAGTTAGTTATACAGACGAGTCAGGTTAGTCTTTTAGAGTTACCGGTATTCATCATCAATGCTGTGTACTTAATAATGCATTTGATGACGATGAAAAAGCAACATAAGCAAGGGATATATACATTCCGTAATAGATAACGTCCTTGCAAGATGTAGTGCCTGCACACATGAGGCTGCAAAGCACTGATTGCAATACATATATTTTGATCAGTATAGTAGAATTACAAAGCCTCATTTTTTTCTTCTGTAAACTAACCCATTTTGAAATAATAGATCAGCTGTGATTAAGTTGGTAAAATAGATGACAGTGGTGTTAATGCCATTTATAATTTGTGAATTCTCAAGAGTACACAAAAGTAAACTATTCATTTCTTGTGGCAGGCGGCACTGTTGATGAAAATGCAGAGTGAAGGAAGTCATCTTGATGAGACTGGCAGTAACTGCACTGAATGTGATGTATTTGAACTGCTGGGTGCTTTGTCTGAAGACAGGTAAGCCACTATTGGCCACCTTATAATATCAGATTTGGTAAAATGCTTCAGTCGTAGTCACAGCACATTATGTTTTATATAAAAAGCATAAAATACAATTTATTTATATGTTTGCACCAGCACTATGTGACTACTGTGTTTTAAATATTTTTTTCTTTCAAGCCTTTAAATCTATCTTACCGGTATTAAAATCCATAGCAATATTTCCTATGTGTCTGCATGTATATTAGCCATACTGGCCTGGTGTTGTGTTAATGTATCAAATATTTGATGCCACTGTTTGTGTGTAAATGAATTGTATTTTGTATAGTTATCAATTTAATTATATTTCAGTGATTTACATGAACAAGAGGAGACCGGATTTTTAGCTGGATTAAAGATTCCTGCTCCGTGGGCAACTGGGAAAACTGTAGAAACCATACACCCTGTACGAGATAATTACAAGTTCCGTGAGACTGTTCACATACCTGGTGCAAGATGTTTGTATTTAAGATTTGATCCGAGATGTTCTTCACAATATGATTATGATAAGGTCAGTCATTGAGTACACTGTCTTCAATTTGTTGGTTTGTTTCATGATTTTGATGATTCACATATGTGTAATTTGTGTGAAATACTGTAGTTGAGTATATAAATGCTAGATCCGAAAAAACACCCACAGTTTTGCATATATCCAAATTGTTGAGAAACTCCCTTCCCTTGCATGCTAATTTAAAACAAAGTTGTTTGCACCATGCCGGGCCCAATCCAACGTATACAGCATACTTCGGTGTAATGCATCTCTTTCCACCTTGTTCTTCAGTTGCTGGTATATTATACTGATCATTTCATCCAACACTGCTTTTGTAAAGCTCACAATATCTTCCTACAGTGTTTATGAGTCAGCCAGCCATGTTGTCATACACAATGTAGTAACATTTATGTATTTTTCAATGAATCACTGTGATTACATTCCAATTAAATATTTAGGTGTTGCATTTTGTATGCTTTGTTGTAGCTTGTAATATATGCTGGACCTACTACTAGTTGTAGGAAAGTAGCCGAGTATGGTGGTAACACTCATGGATATGGAAGCAGAAGTGTGCTTGGGTCTGGATGGCCTAAAGATCTTGTTAAGGTCAGTATTACTGCTGGGATCATGTAGTGTATAAAGGTGTGTATCGGTATATATAACATTTATATTGCACTAACTGTTATTCAGGCAGATGAACAAGCAGAATTTGTTAAAAAAAACTGTTGACAAACAAGCTGCTCTCTGATTGGTTAGGCGTTAGGGTGTTATGTAGCCAATCAGGTACAATCTTGTGAGTAGCTTTGCATGAACTTCATATCTGTCATAAATTGATCATTGTGTGTTCGATGTACCCGGTACTTAAAAATTTCACCAAAACAACATTGTTTTGTTTACTTGTTTTTCCAGCATGTGCCATTTTAGGAGATGCTCTTCTAATAGAATAAATACTTTACTCCTAATTGAAGAGAATATAAATCAGGTGTTTTCATTCATTTTACAGCTCGTATTGACATTGAAAGCAGTTCAAATAGAGTGTATTACTGTAAACTACTGAGATGGTGAGATAACATATTATGTACTATTATTTCTAGGTTGAAGGCAACACTGTTACCTTTGCATTTGAGATGAGAAGTGGGCGTGAACACAACACACCAGATAAGGCCATGTGGGGATTTGGATGCACTGTCAGAGCACAAGTACATGTAAGTCGTACCATTACAATCTATATTCCACAATTCCAATCAATTTGTAAAAATCCTTTCTATAGAAATTGTTGATTATATTCAACTAAACAAATCAAAATAACAGTTATTCTCTATTCAATGAAATAGAGAAGAATATATTGCATAAAACAACCTCTACAAGTCACCAGTCAGGTAACTGTGTAACTACAATAAGTCACTAGTTAGGTGACTCTATGGCCTATAATAAGTGACCTCCTGTAGTTAACAGTTAGTTATCTGTGACCTAAATATAGTGAAGTTCTGAGACTTAAAATAAATTACCTTTAATAAGCCTGTTTGCCTGTTGTTTTTTCTCTCTATAAGCCTTCACTGATAATCAAAATGAATGTGAGAAAACAGCATCAATATATGATGTGTTAGTGACAATTAGTATATCCAGGTCACACGTTCCTTTCTATTGAACCTGTGTGAAATCCACATAAGAAATGAAAACTTATTTGTATGCAGTGTTATTCATTGATGCTGGTGGTTGTACTTGTAGGAATCAGCCGAGGAGTCGTCAAGTGGACTTCCATTTCTAGCTGACGTAGCATTGGGATTGTCTGTATTGGGATGCACTATGTTACATTTACTATATCAAGGCCCAGAAAAGTCCCAGGATGAAGAAGTTTGTCAACATCTATTCAAATCAAAGTTACTCCAACGGTAAGTGCTGTTTTCTTAGTTACTACATTTATTATCTGTATGTTTTAGCATTACCATTTTAGCAGACATTTGATTACGTGTTATATTGCATTTTATATATTTGCAATAGTTCAACAAAAATAAATGTTGTCCTAGATAATTATTCTGATATATCTTTGCCAGTCAAACAGATGTACTCTTATTACCTGTTCATCATACTCTTAATCATCCTCTCACATAACCCCTTTTACCTGACATTTCCAATCTATTCTTACCATGTGCAAGAAACACTCAAAGTTAATAAATTACTATTTTTAGTTGTGTCTGGCGACCTGAATCAGGCAAATTTCCTAGTAAATCAGTTGCCATGCCAATCAGTGAAAGCGAAGAGTTGAACCTTAGTGTGACGCCAGCAGCCATTCCCCGCATAAAATTACCTTCGGATGTCATGAGACAACTGAGAGAGATATCTGGTAGATATGCTCCACCTTTCAGGCCTAGCTTCAAGTAAGTATTGATTTTGGTACAAACACATCCTTGAAATAATCATGAAGGTATGATTATGCTTAAATGTTGAATTACTGTGATTCACAATAATTCAAAAACATTCAACAACAATTCAAATGATAAACTAAAAAACACTTCCTGATATTTGTAAAATTTTTAACAAATTATATTTTACATATTCGCAAAATCAAACCAAAAATAAATCTGAAAGGTATTTTGTCTGAGTGGAACTTAATGTATACAAACTACAATGTACTTATGGATATTGACAATTATCATTGATATAATTGCGATATTTTCATGTTTATGTTGTTTGTATCAAAATATCAAAAATACTGGGATGCTATTACTAGCCTCTGTTGACAGTCATCAAGTGCTTATCCTGTTATGCTAATCAGATTCTACAGTAAAAACTATTAATTCGCAGTTACTGTAGTAAAATTTTTTTTGTAGAATCTGATTAGCATGTGCGTTAAACATTATGTGACCTCGTTGCATGACATTTTGTTTTTCAGATTAGATTCAAAATGGCCGACTAGTGACCATTTTGTTTTAATAAATGCAGTTGTTAAACTTGATAACTCACAAGAACTATGTTATGTAATTTCTTGTTGAGTTTTTCCACAATCCAACTTTAACTACCTGATGACTACATTGTAATATATCATATTTTGGTTATCTACACTACTTAGGGAAGCATTGAAACCAGAAGACGTAGAGGAAGCCATTGTGTCTGCCGTTATTAAACATCTAGGTTTACACGACTGTCTACAGTATTTGGGAAGTGATCAGATCCCTGCTGAACAAATAGAGAACTATACCCTTCTACTTAATGTGGTTTCTGAAGTCTACAGAAGATTTGATGCAGTCTTGAGACAATTACAGGTTAGTCCACCGATGTATTGCTACACAGTTGGCAGCCACAGTTGTAGAATTTGTCGCTATAAAATTGTGAATTATATGATGTACTCTGCCAAAATCCTGTGACCCTGAAACCACAAATAGTCTAGGAGATTAACAAAATGGTAGACTTGATAACTTACTCAGACACAAATATCACACAACTCTGAAACCTGCAAATGGTGGATTTGATAACTTACTCAACCACAAACATGTAACATTATATAACTTACAAATATTCTCTTGGTCTTGGTGTAATTGTTTAACTGGTGTGGATTCTTTTTTTTTTTTTTCAATTGCAGTCGTTAGCAGAGCTGGAGCAGAAATGGCAGACTGAAGTGGATGATTTAAGACAAGGCAGTCTACCATTAGGAATTGCATTCTTTGCTGATTATCATTTACAAGAGGTAGGCTTAGTAACTTTTTTTTGTCTGAAACACAGATCAATGCGTTTTTTCTCCAGGTGCTACCTAAATGCATGACATAAAACGAATTTCAATAAATTTATTCAATAAATAAGTAAATAAATAAATAAACAATCACCTTTTGTTATCACAGTCAAAGAGCAGAGAGTTGGCTTTCCTTTGTTATCTTAAAGATGTAGAACTGGATCCAATCAATCTTGAAGAAGCCGTTAACAGTCTCAGGTATCAAATTATCATTCTCATTATTTAATTATTTTTCTTCAAAGTACTGGTAATATTGTGGTATTTAGATGAGACTTTGTGATCTTGTGCGTGTTTGTAGTCTCATTTCATTCAATCAGTTCATCAAGCAACATACTTGTTGAAGCAAGTTTTAATACTTTCATGGCAGTTCAGGTACATGTATGTACCAAGTTGTGAGTCGCAAATAGCAAAATATGCCATATGCGAGTGGTAAAAAGTATCATTTGCTAGTAGCAAAAAAGCCCTATGCGAGGGGTAATACAAAGGCCAGGAAAACTGGTGTATGCGAGGGGTGGAGTCATTTGCCAGTGAAGAGCAAACATTGATTCTATGCAAACGACTGAACGAACTTTTTGATATCAACACTTAAATGAATAATAAACAAAAAGCACTGGAAATAGTAGTTAAAGCTACTTTTATTTGTGATCTTCGCAATGTAGTCCGCGTACACTGGTCGACTGTAATGTTGAGTACCGGGCGGCGTGCGCCGGTTGACACCTAGGCTAGATCGAGTTGACACCTATTTGCTACCATTATTTTTATATGTGAACCACCCCTAAAGTAAAAGCCTCAACAGCATCATTTCATAACCATGGTAAATATTTGATTTTAATGTGGTAAACACATTTGAATGTACATTATTATATTATAAGCAAACAAATCCAGCCGTTGAGCAAACTGGCAAATGACTCCACCCCTTGCATACACCAGTTTTCCTGGCCTTTGTATTACCCCTCGCATAGGGCTTTTTTGCTACAAGCAAATGATACATTTTACCACTCGCATATGCCATTTTTACCACTAGCATATGGCATATTTTGCTATTTGCGACTCGCAACTTGGTACTCGCATGTGGCACTTTTTCTAGGTCATACATACCTTGGCAGTTAATTAGTAATTTGTTCACAGTTGAATGATATGATGGACATTGCATTAGAGTTACCTTATGAAGCTTTAGATAAAAAAAATTGAATCCTAAAATATATGCAAACTAGGTTCATGAGCTCACATCAGCTCACATCATCTCACTGTTGAACAATTCTGCATTCTCGTTTTATGAATGAAGCTGCTCTATCTGTAAATCTTCAAAATAGAATCTGTTGAAACTATTTAAAATGATTCTGCAATTATATATGCTTGTTGGGAGATGTACTTGAAAGGGTGCCTGCTGTCATATTTCTATCATACAGTGTAAAAATCATTGCCAAACCATTGTATTGTTGCTGAATTGCAATATTGTCACTGTATTTAATACCAACCCAACTGGATAAAATGTAATATTTTACTGTCACTCCCATATCGTTTCATTCACTAGAACAGCCACATTTCACCTCAGGACTGATTGGGTAAAATGTAAATCACAGGTTTATTACAAAACCTATAAACACGCCAGACAAGATTAAAACTCGTGCCACAGCAATATGCCTTGCAATCATTCAACCAACATCTGAAGTAGAATAAATACTAAGGAACATGTAGAATATTAATTTAAAGATTCCTTTTTTATTCAATTTATTTCATCTATTTATATAAATTGATGTATGACAAATGGGAAACTTGTTAACAAATTTAGACTACCTGTATGTACTTTGTCACATGGCTGGTGCCAGGTCCAGGTATCCTGGTGTGTGTAACTCAGCTTTGCTGTGGGTGTTTCCTGTTTTAATCCATTTTAAATACAATTTTTATGTTATGAAGCGATTTATCTAAATGTTATGTGATTGTCTTATTCAGTTATCAGTTTTATAGACTAGTGAAACTTTATTCTCTCAAAATTACTGTGTTATACCATTGTCCCGTGTTATTTAGCCAAATGGCTAGTTAAAATGGTTTAATCTATTCGGTTCCAATCAAATAATGGTCTTGAGATATGCAAAGCAAAACTAAACTATCAGCAACTTTAATAGCTGGTGATGTTGCTGTTTCCGTGTATGAAATAAGATGTCGGTGAGTGCAAAAGATCCATGGCAGTGGTTATGGATCAGTTATCTAGCAATAATTGTGTTAATAATCACATGGTTATTTGCAACTCTAGGGAGAAGCTTGAAGCTGAGGCAAATAGGAAGGAAGAGAAAGACAAAGTGGAGACACTGCCCAAGACAAGGTCATTGGTGATGGGAATATTTGAGAGAGCTGAGTTATTATTACATGTTAATATTAATAGCGACACTATGGGTGGCATGGCAAGAAGTGCTTCCCAGAATCAAGACATACCCCGTAAGAACCACTTTTAAATTATTGTTATTCATCAGTTGCATACTAATTTCATTCCCTAAATGATTCAAGTACTAAGTGATTTGATTAAATACAAATATCGATGGGGGTTGTATAATGAAAGTAATAACGTTGAACATTCTGAAAGCTAAATAAATCGAACGATTCGGTCAAGTACTGTTCCGACTGACAACGTGCGTCGTTCAACAAAGAACTCAAAACAGCACCATCACACTAGTGAATAATTCAATTATGGATAAATTTGAGTGCTGTATTGACATAGGCTTTCTTCGTATTCAGTTTCGTATTCCAATATTGTTTCCATGTTTACTTCTATCAAACCTGAAATATTTTAACACGGAATAATACATCTGTTACGTAGTTAATAATGACTTAGTAATGCAATACTGGCCCAGTTGGTTAGATGTTCGTCAATCCACCACCCCCATTGCTAGTGATTTGATTAAATACAACCAATTTCGGCCATTTTCTATGTGTAAAAGTTCGTGGAAGGATTGATGCATGTCACTTTGATTTGTAAATTCAACTCATTTTTTGAACAATTCACTTTAAACTTTATACCTAGATTGTCCATCACAAATTCACACATACAATAAGTTGTCATCTGATCAAAGATGGCTGACTGCTGACTGTTTTAGTTGTTAAAAAAAACCCACTAAAATCAGGTATTTACCGTATCCAAGACCATACCTTGAGCATTTGTTGATTTTCTTCAAACTTGGTTGAAGGAGTAAACACTACTGGAGGTTGATGTATGTATGATTTTCAAAGTCTACTCAAGATGGCTGATTTTTATACATGTTGTACTAATAATTTGTGCTCTGCTGTTGACTTTTGTTTTCTTGATATCATTCATTGTCACATGCATAACTCATGTATCTCCATAGTGAAAAATATCATTAGATACAGGTCTACATCACACACCAAAACTACTCTTATTACTCGCTTATTACAGAATTCAATATGCTTATGGTATTTAACATTAAGTGCACAACAGGGTCTGTGCATTGCAAAATACACCATAGATATCTGCTAAGATTTACAAATTAGACACAAATTAGATTTTTGTTTTAGGCAAGCTATTCTGTACACACTATTAGAATTCATACATACATACTTTACATTGACTTCTTTCCTTCACATGTTTCATATTTAGATGTCTCTTCTGAAACAATGGTCTCAGTACATGATGGTCAAACACCTTTGTATAGAAGTTTATCAGCCCCATCTGAATTAGAGATTGACTCTGAAACTTGGCAAGCTATCACTGATGCTCCTACAGTCAGAAGACCTCTCAGGTTAGCTTTATTTTATTTTTAAAATTTACAATTATTGATATGTAATCTATATTTGGTATTGTGTCCTTGTGTTTCCTTAATATTAATTATCATAAGTATATTATCATCAATTTACTCTATTTGTTCAAAACTGCATATGAACCAGAAATTGCATTATGACTATACACATGCTGATACCTCCGTCAATACAGTGTACATACGAGTCTTACCCTTGTTTGGTTTTGTTACCAGGTGGCGAGGACATCGTAGAGGACCAGTAACACTACTACAGGAACTTATATCTGATGAAATTAACAGGGATAAAGATAAACCACTTCATTCACAAGTTTTAGATCAGCTTTTTGCATTCATTGGAAGTAATCCTGAGAAAAGTGTACGTTTTAATATTGTTTGGTGTACATTTAAATTTATGTGTATATTGTGTTCGCTGTGGTGGTTGAAAATAAGTAAAATCGTGGTCACATGATTTTTCCACTTATGCTTTATCTGCCGTAACCATCATGTAACCAGGATTTACTGTGGCTGCGAATTTGTTTCTTACACCCAGGCAGCAATATTGTATTGTAAGCCAATTAGCTGACAATATTCTACTCTTTACAAAAACGTCATAGTTTGTTGGAGGGAAATTTAACTGAAATATAAATTTAATTTGGTATTCTTAGGTGAAGTATAAGTTTGTAATATTCAGACAAGCAGTAGCAGTGATTATTCTTGTCAAACGATCTATTTATTTATTTGTGTTACATTTAAGTGTGTACATTATGGCCTATGGCCAATGGTACTGAATAAATATATATATTGTAATGTACATTAAAAAAAAAGCAAAAAAAAAGCTGACAATATTGCTGAAAGGGTGTACGAAACATTTTTGCAATCACAGTAACTAGTGATAGTACATAAATTCTTGTTCTACTCGACCCGAAATAAAATTAAAACATTGTTCCAATTGTTCCTTCATCTCAGGTCTCTTGTAAAAGTTTTGTATCATCTGCTGGTATTCGGTGGCGGCGTGGTAATGATAGGAAACAAGCTTTGATTCACATGAGAGAGTTACTGACTGCAGCGTCTAGGGTTGGTGGAGGTACTCACTTAGTGGCTGCAGTTACATCTGTACTACAGAGTGGACCTAGGTAGGTAGAATCGACATAATGATCAAGGAAGAATCTCACTTGAAGGCACTTGCTTTTACCAAACGTACTAAGGTGTGTGCTCCCCACAAGTTGGAATGTACATGTAGTACAAATCTCACTCTTCTCAATGCTCAAGATTTTTTCCTTAATAACTTTTTGAGTTCTTTGTTCTGCTATCTGTGTATCACCTAACATACACATTTCCACAGCTAATTGTCTTTGTTGTTTTCACTAGGATTGAGGAGTTGACATGTGGTGGCATGGCTGACCATGTACGGGAAGCCTTTGCTGAGACTATGACATCAGTTGTACAGATAGCAGCCCGCTATCCCATTGCATGCTGTAACAGTATTGGGTTACTGTGTATCATTCCATATACAAGGTAAAGTCTCACCTGTTCAAGTTGATCTTATTTGGAGATACATGTATAAACCATTTGGGGGATTACAGCATGTCAACTATTATAGTATCTTCCCGGGTTTTGTCACTGCTGGTATTTGGAGTGGTTATAGTTTCGTCATTTGTGAGTTTGATTCCTGGAGGTGTCTGTAGTGTGAATTCAAGTACTGTCTACCCTGCCTTTCAGACATGTGGTGTTAGGTTTGGGGGACTCGTTTGCATGTGCACTTGCAATTAGCATTTAACATATAAAAAAAAAAGGTCAGAATATACAGCAGTGACTTGAATGTCTAGAAATGTGGTCTGGCATGAAAATATTTTTTAAATGTTAGAACACACTATTGGAGGTCATATTATGTCATGATGTTGTGTGTGTTATGTTATATTCATTTTCAGATTGTTAAGACAGGTTAGAAAACAATAATCGTGAAACCGGTAGCAACGTTGAAATTGATCCTTTCTCACATAACTGACAATGGATTTCATGTAGATTCTTGGTCTGTATTTCAAAATGAAACCAAATGTCACTCTCTATTTCACTAGGACTGAGGAGCAGTGTCTGGTAAGAAGTGGTTTGGTGCAGTTATTGGATAAACTCTGTAGTTTAGGCAGTGACAGGGGTGATGGTAATGCAGATATGCAATCAACAAGACAAAGAGTATCAGCATTAGCCTGGGCAGGATTCCAGGTGAGTTGCCTTACATACGTCTGATCATGTCTACCTGGATCTCCAAGTTTTGATTTCTGTGCTGTATCAAGATCATTTGACAAGAATTCCAGATTCGTTTTCTATGATGCATGTCTATTTTCTCTGATCATCAGGTTTACTGTAAAATATTATGAGTTACAAGAGGGTGTTACTTATTCTATTTGTTTTTTTAGGTTCTTGCTAATAGGTGTGTGTCATGGGAGACAGAGGAAGGAGCTCAAGACATACTGCAGCATGCTGGGTTAGCAAGACAGGTGTCTGCATTATTAACCAATCACTTAGCCAGGGCAACTGAATGTAATGGTAATGAAGCTGCTGGTAGTGAAGCCTTGCAAGAAGTTCTCAGCTTACTCAATAACTTGTCAAGGTACGTATTGACTTTGGTATTCATGTGTGTACATGATTCTCAAAGTATTATACAGGTACTGCCTTCTTTTGGGTGTATTTTGGGCTTAGGTGGAGTTACCACCTTTTGAGAATAGTTCCAGGTGTCCTTGGGTAATCTGATGCAACAAGGATATACTGTGATGTAATTTTGTGGTCTGTGTTGGCAAAATACTTTATCATGGGAGTTCTATATGGGATCGACCTTTTAATAAGCAGTTGTAACGTGTACTTGGTCAGTTTATAAGAAATACATTATACCTTGGTTAATATTCACTGACAAGCATGTGTTTCTTTGTATTATAGAAGTCGTATGGGAAAAGCCATTTTAAGCCAACCAGCCTGTGTTTCTAAACTACTCTCCTTGTTATTGGACCAAAGACCATCACCAAAATTAGTACTCATCATACTACAGTTGTGTCGTGTGGCCTTGCCTCTTATGACTGCTGAAGACTGTGAGAGTGTTACACTACCCTCATGGGGCCAGGAAGTATCTATGCTTGCAGGTGAAGATGAGATGCTGTCCGATCCACCAGCTAAGATTTGCAGTTTGTTACTTGCTAAGCTTGGAGACTATGTTGTTCCAGGTGAGTTTATCTGACTGCTAGATTTATCTATTTTGCTTAAATAGTGTAAGCCTTGGTGCTATGGGCTTTGTAATTGCTCTATCTGAAACCTAGGTTAGGACTATTTGAAAGGAATATTGTCAAATGAGTACCTCAGTTTTTGGACTGGTTGGAGTGAGCCAGTCATGATGACTGGCTGGTTACCAATGCCGATGACACAGACATGTGTATTCTCTTTTTCATGTGTCTGACATCCCTCGGCTGATTTCCCTCCACCTTCATTTTGTCTAAATGGCAGTATTTTGTTCAATATTAGGGTAAAGATGATACAGTATCCAAAGTGGCCCCTCAACACCCATTTTTGTTCTGAAACGGATATTAGTATTGCAATGTGACTTTTTTTGGACTAGATTAATTCAATCATTTCTATGGTAGGCATTTTTTTCTTGTGCATACCCCCACTTCTCACACCCTACTACTACATTACATCATCTATCATAATGAATATATTAATAATTATCTAGGTGGCCAGACAACAGCAACTCCTACTACTGAATTTCCTGAATCTACCAGCAAACCAAGCCAGACACTGCCCTCTACAGTTGAAAGGGAGAGAGGTGAGGAGTGCGAGGTGCAGGATGGCAGAATATCGGTGTTCATTCATAAACGAGAAGATCAGTCGTCACACGAAGTGATACAGCCACTACTCAGGTATATTATTTTTGTGAGATTATCTTGAGTATTATTGTAATTAAATTTATTGACAAATGTGTTCATGAGACACCAATCATTTACTGTTGACAGAACTGCATATTTGCCAAGGTGGGTTTACACAAAAATGAATGGTCACACATTGATAGTGGCAAGTTTTTGGAAACGTGCTAAAAACCAGTTGTGTTCATGCATGAAAGCCGGTAAATTCACACAATTATGCTTTCTGCTTGGTCATAGACTTTTTGTGACTGTGAGGTGTGCTATTATGGCTGTAACTCCAAGCCATGACCAATGTTTATGGTTTTGAATTGCGTATAATGACTAGTGTACACGATGTATGAAAAGACTAACCCATGGACAGAAGAACAATTATTATAGAAACGTTGAATTTGCCCATTCACAATATCACTTGTAGTTTATCATAGGGTCATACAAGTGATGCATAAATCATGTTCATTTTGACTGAAATAAAATCCACATGCATAAAAACTGTTAGCCACAAACTAATGTGTATATCCTTGAATGTTGTTGTAACTTTGTTACTTTTATTGTTACACTAGTTCTGATGGCAGGCCATTCAGACTAGGCAGTGGTGCTAATATGGAGAAAGTGGTACGAATGGACAGAGAAATGACTAAGGTATGTTCTTACTGTACTCCAAGAAGCTACTAAAAAGCTGTATTCACTACGTTCAATTACCCACCATAGACTCCGGTCAGTCAAAATGACTATTTTGAACTGTAGGCATTAATCAGCGATTCTGCCGGTGACGGAGAGATAGAATCCAGGTCAGGGGAAGCCCCATGACCTCAAGATTCTTTTACCCCTTATGTCACGAACCCACGTGACCGAGGCCACCTGGCAACGCCACAGGTAGCCGTCCATCACTCTTAATTTCTCTCCGCCTCGAGTGGAGATGAAATTTAGCGAGCTCTGCTGGATCGCCTGCTTTTTTTTTCCTGTCCGGATTTATAGCTTGGGTTGTTGCCACTGCACGGCATCCGACATTGTAGCTGGTAGGATAAGTTTTCCTTGTCTTTTTTTACCCTCGTGTCGTTTTCCCCTTTGTGTGTAGTATTTTTCACAGCAAAGAAATCAAAATCCGGCGCCACTACGTAGTCACATGTTGATTTCATGGCGGCACTTTTTACAACTGTAATTCGTTTCCCTCATGCATGTCGTCTTTTATTTTTAATGTATTTAGCAATATATAGGTGTAATGACAGCACCAGGGCTCGCTGCCGTTTTTCTTTCCGGTCTCCTCGTGTTTCGAGTCGACCATGCAGTGGTTATATTCAGAATTTACCAGCATAGAAACCGCATCCGAGATA